ATGCCTTCTAAAAATAGTTAATTTTGAATACGGGAACAATTTTATACTACAAAATACAGTTCAGTTTAAACCATACAGACTTCCAAGGATGTGGAGCAAAATTTATTTCATTTTGAAAAAAAATTGACTTAAAATAAAACTAATTTTATCTGATTAAGTATTTTTTTTTTATTTAAAATGGCTAATATGGTTATTCATGGGATTGCAATTATAAATATATGCTTGAACTTATCAATTTTATTCTTTTTTGTCCCTTCAGAAGACTAAAACAATTACAAGGCCATTCTATTTGTGTACCATTGCTGATATGATGGAATCAGGTAATGCGCGATATCACCGGCCGCGCGGACACATGGGATTCCACTCTACATGATGTACGGTGATGTAAGGACAATTTTTTGGTGCAAGCGAAAATGATGTAACAAAATTGGATGCTGTTGTTATGGAGACGTAAATGCTTCTGTGATTATAAAAAAATTATTAAATATTGTAAAACAGTGCAATCCAAACTTGTTTTGCAATCATAATAAGTCAGTGTTCCAGCTAGGATTTCATAAGGGCAGGGAGCCAATCATGAAAAGGGCACTTTAGCACGATGATTGATATTTCAAAAAGGGCATGTCAAATATTGTCTTATTTTAACTGCAGGGGTTTCAGCTAGGAGTTTTGAGGGGGTTTAGTCACTTTTACGCTAGATGAAAATCAACTTATTTTGGGTAACAGTATTAAAGGGACCATGCAAGGATGTATATTACTAGGCTACTAGCTCAGTCTTCCCTAGAAAATTTTTGATGCATGGTAGGTCTAAGGTTAAGTTGCAATGCAGAGCGCAGCGGTGTTTTGTAGAATTATTTTTATTTCATTAGTGTAATGAATTGTGCATGTCAGTTAAAATACTATACTAGATCTGCAATACAGTCAGGAACAATACCTTACATTTTCTCCAGGGGCCAACCTGGATCCCAAAACTTTTTTTCAAGGGCCCAGTAGAAATTTTAAGGCCCTACCAGGGTATTTTTACTACAGGTACATACTTATCAATATCTTGAATGTTCTTATAAATGCAATAATATATGTTTGAAATGCCTAATACATGTAGCCCAGTGTTTCTGATTATGATAGAAATAATAAATGAATTATAATAAACCGAATTGAGTTTTTCAGAATTAAAATCCATTTAACCATGTCTTTTCAGACTGTTAAACTTACATTTGTAATATTATATATAAAAAATCCCCCCTTTTCCATTTTACACACCCCTAGATGTACAAAATGTAGAGTATTAAAGTATTATCAGTTTCACCCCAAGAAAGTATTCATTTTTAATGAAACAAGCATTCTGAGAGTATTGCATGGCAATACACAGTCCCCTACCGGGTAAAAATTCATTATACTGGAACAAAATGCTAACTTGTTCTATAACTTGTCATGGTGTAAACAAAAAGAAAATATCAAGTCAATATCTTCGAGCATGACTAAAAACAGTATGGAAAACTGAATATATGAGTGAATTTTTTCAAGTCCAAGGACCATAACGCTGCACAAAATTATCAGATTGAAACAAATATTTGAACTTGATCTGTAACTTGTCATGATAAAACTATTTACCAATTGTCAATCAATATTTTCAAGCATGATGAAAAAAAGTGTTGAAAACCTATAACACTCTAACATTAGATATGATGTAATACAATGAATATCTATTTTCAAATTACAATCAAATATAATTAATAGTTCCAAATATTTTTTCTTTCATTTGTCACAAACTAATATAGATTTCTAACTTACCTATAAAATGTCAACAACTTTTATCTACACAATGTAATGTAATGAAATATATACCTTAATAAAAATAGATTATTATCTAATTAAAGGATTTCACTTAATAAAAATATATATATACAGTGTTCCAGCTTAAATCTCAGGGCAGAAGGGTGCTAGTTGTCTGAAAGGGCACTTTGGCGTTATAACCCAGATTTTAAGGACACTGTTGGACAGTGTATAAATTACCTTGAATATTGCTAGGCTCATGCAGCTGGAGAACATTAGTTGTATTTAAACCATATTCAGAAATTATGTGTTAATGTGTTCTTGATGTTGGTTCCAGTAAGAATTTTTTTTTTATCAAATTATCATACCATGAAGCAAAGCATATCATTTCGATGTTAATCTAAACAAACTTGTACATTTGGTAAGGAAAAAATAATCATCAGAAATTTCAATGTTTTATAACTTATACCAGTCTATAAAAATAAACAAGTAGTTTTGAAAGATGGAGTTATACATGCAAAATTGATTGTTTAATGTAATTAACTTATCTACTTTTAAATTACTTGTTCAAACATATAGTATATATGTTATTGAGGGTTATTTATGATCATTTGAATTGTTACATAAAAATATTTTTAAGTGCACACCAAAGTGCTCCTCAGTAAGGAGTTTTATAAATATAACAGGTGAGACTGTAGATGATCATTTTACATTGATGCAATAATATATTGCAGAAGGTATAAACAGTTACTTTCTTCTCCATCATTGTTAAAAATAAATTTGTTGAGTGCTCCTATGTCAGGAGGATTATAAAATACAAGAAGTAAAACAGGAAGTGAATCTTGTTATGTTCAAAGTACAAATTTCTTTGATTCTTCTTTTAATTTCATACTCATAGTTGTGAAACAAAACCAATTAAGTCAAAACTATGTATGCCTTTAAAATTGTTTAAGATTTTATTTTTTATGTTATGCCTACTGAAATAAATTTTTTCAGGTGTACATGCTGTACATAAACATTACAAATGGATAACATGTGGACATTTCATTCTGTATTAAATATCTAGTATTTGTTCAATTATCTTAAATCCACTAATTAGCAGTAAACAATCATTAACAAAGGTGATAAAACTGCCAAAGCATTAGGTATTTAACTTAATCCCATTGTCAGTTAATTAGTGTTACACAATTCAGGTAACAATTTTACCAGAAACGTCGGTAGGCATGAAATTTGGAAATTTTATTTTTTTGAAAAGGCAGAGGGGTGCATTCTTTTACTTTGGAGGGCAGAAGGGCGGGGGTAAGGGCACCAAGGGCGGGCCGCCCTTCTATTTAGGGCAGCCGGGAACACTGACATATATATATATATATATATATACATGTAGCATTCAGAAAATTAGTTTATACAAAATAACATATAAACCTGCCACAAAATTCCTCAAACAATTTACCAAAGAATGTCTTTTAAAAAATGAGTTATCTCCCTTTGTACAGATTATATGGTTTAACATAGTACTCTAACATTAGTTATGGAGTTTTTTCATGGACCATAACTCTGGACTAAATCATCAGACCAGAACAAAATTCGAACTTGATCTATAACTTGTCATGATAAAACTATATACCAAATATCAAATCGATATCTTCAAGAACGAACAAAAAAAGTGTGGAAAGCTGAGTTGCCAGACTGACGGGTGGACAGACGGACGGACAGACAGACGGACAGAGTGCAAACCTAAAGTCCCCTTCGACCTCGTCGGTAGAATTTGTGATCATGGATTACAGCTTTAATTAATTTAATTTGGATATAGATATTCAATGAAAGGTACAGTCAAGCATAGTTTTTACTTTCTTCTGGATTAAAACTAGTTTAAAAGATCAATTTAAAAAAAAATCTTTGACATATTGACAACAGACGATTTACGGATACATCAAACGCAAATTGTCATCTGTTGAGAAATATTGAAATTGAAATGCTGACTGATCGAATTTAATGAGAAAAATTATTACAATGGTCAATTATGAAGTTTAATTAACGGATTAATGACCCATCAGATGTCGATAAGCGGATTATCTGTAATCACAACTTATTACACCTGCTGTAAATGTTAATTAGCTGAGGGTCATAAACTTGTCATAAATATGAAGACAGGTAGAATAATTGTATTTTCATCAAAATATTACGGCAATAAAGGCATGGACTTACATAAAAGGGCACAGGGCGGCACTCGGTAAAGGGCGGGTGGACCGCCCTGTGAAAACACCCTAGCTGGAACACTGTAAGTCCAATAATTTACCCCAAAAAATTCAAGAGCATACAAAATAAAATTAAGGTCACATAAATTTTAATTCTTTGGTACATTTGTGATATTTTTAAGTACAAGCCCTTCATAATATATACTGGTCAGTGTTTATCGGTGTCAAGAACAGTACATGTAACTCTGAAACAGCATTTATGTATATTGGTGTTTTTCCTGTGACATTGTGATAGACTTCACATTTACTATGTTTTTGACAAAGATTTAAATCTATCAAAAACGTCTTTGGTTTTGAAATATATATCTCAGCATCTTAAACATGTTTCAAAAACAATTTAATAAAAAAAAAAAAAAAATCTTATATAAAATATAATATATGATGCTGACAATGTCTAATGGGTTATTATTTATTTTTGGTAAACCTAGTCCCATGGAAAAAGCATAATTACCATTATCAAATATATTTACTTATAGTTGTATATATATGATATTGAAATAGTTTTCAATTGCCTAATTATTTTTGTGTAAAATAAATATTTAGAGTTATGACAGTTATGGTTCGATCTTGACATCATTGACATTATTCTTCCATACAAATAAAATCTTTTTTTTTTTTACTAGAAAGGGTACTAGTACCATGTCAATGATTATTCTTAAGTGGTTTTGATATTTTGGGGTAAATCTAATGACAAATCATAATTATTATAATCATGTAGATACATTAATGTTCATAATCATACCACACACTAACAGTGAGAAAGAATCCTCTAGTGTCCCTAATGCTGTACTCATGTAGGACGCTTCTATATAATGAACCACGAAATATTACTAAGAGTACTAATTTACTGAATCATAAATTATATGATTCAACAGTCAAAATATAAAAATAGAAGTGAAAATACATTTTGTGTAGGTGCACTTATACGATTCAATGTGAGTTTTTTTTATGTATCGGGTGTTTACTTTTACGTGCCTCAAAGCTCTCAATTCAGAGTCTTTAGTTCAGAAATTCTTTCAAGCTTCAGTATTTGTGTCTTCTGAACATTGGAAGTTTTCTTTTGTAAGAAACAACTTTTCTACGAAATACATTATTTACATCCGGGCGAGAGTAATACCGTAACCGGTTGTCGGTCCTATCATGATTTCCGGATGTGTCAAAACACTACCGTATTGCATGATGTACCGAACAACGTGTTCATCCTTAGTGGAATGTAAAAACAAAATTGCACGAAAGTGATATGTTGATATTCATAAAGAAAAAAATCTAATAAAAAAAAATCAAATAAAACATATATGATACCGATTTCACTTCAGTACGACTGTGACACGTGAAACCTCAATACAAGTTAATTGACGGACAGACCGCATCACTACATATAATTTGAATGACCCGTGAATAACCCCAGAAGTACACCAGGAAGTTTTTTGTTTGTTTTACAAGTGTCAATGAACTTAATAGTTCTCATCTGCCATAATTATTTTAATATAATATATTTCAAAATATGAAGCTTATCCGGTCTAGCTGACTATACAGGCACTTCAGGTCTACACCGGCCTGATTCGAATCACTGAGGTAACTGTGACGCAGTGTAGTACATCGATCATGTTAACTGGATGTTCGTGATATTATAACTACACTATGAGGACTGAATGGCAGACAAGTTTAAGTGTTATGTTGATAAAATTTCACTTGAACATTTTCTTTGAAAACAATTACTATTTAACTGGGGGCTGGGCCCGCCAAATCAGTCTGTTGAATTCGTTCAGTTAATGAATAATCGTTTTTTGCGTATAACCTCCACTTAAGGGGGAACGGGACTATTGACGGGATATGCTTACCCGTCCACTGACTCGTTACTCATGATATCAATCCTATTCACATGAACATTGTTCATTGCAGTTTACGGTGTATGATGTGGCTTTGTGCTTGGCGAATAGCACAAGAATAGTTAACACTAGTTGAACAAGTACGAACTATTGTTTGATAGGATTAGGATCTGGATAGGGTTAACAGAATACACGAATAGGGAAAAAATAGAAAAAGAATACAAAATAGCAAGGTACTAAAATATAAATATTGGAGAATGATTAGCTTAATCAATAAGAATAGAGAAAAATGACATAAAAATCTAAAGAATACATAAATGAAGAATCCCCATCCAGACCCTCATAGCAGGATATGCTAACCCAACCTCACTGATCTCAATCCCTTATGGATGACCCGGTTATATCATAAATTTGATAAAGTTCAAACAGAAATACAAAAAGATACACTTAACCAATATGCTGTTGTACAAAGCATCGGAATATGACTTATTATTGAGTTACTTTTCGTCACGAGTCACTAGTAGAGTATAAGATTTAATACTATTTCGGAATTATAGTGCACATGGGAGCCGGTGCTTGTAACTCAATCTTTATTTTTTTCTGGGTAATGAATCTTTTTCTCTTGTGTTCATGGTGTGGCCTTTTCGTCCTGCTGTATTATTTTTTAATTTTGGTTTTTATGTGTAGTCAACGATATTTTGTTTTCGGTCTGTGCGTCCGTTAGTCAGGTAAGAAGTTTTGCGTCGAAACAGTCCACCGACGGACCCCTCAGTGACGGTTGACGTAGCTGCGTATTAAACTCTTTAGCCATGGTTATACTGACCGGATGAATGAACATATTTATATACCCCATTCAACCCTTAAGATTAGTCCCATTTTGAAGATTTTTTTCTTATTCAATCACATACAAAAGTCCCTTTCCAGATTTTTCAAACAGATTTGCGGCGTCTCTTACGAGATCCAATGAATGAAAGAGACAGAAAAATCGTACTTATATATGGTATATGAAATTTTCAGTGTCTTCCTTCTTTTGATGAGATTTTTCATCGACCAAAATTTCGGATTGCAATGCGTCAACCTGGATATATAGGTGTAGCGGTTTCCGAGATTAGGTTGTCCAATCAGATCTGTGGTAGCTCTTATGTATTTTCCGATATTTAGGGTCAAAACGATAAAACACTACGCATATATGCTGCATATTATTTTTTATTTATCATCCAAATTTCATCCAATTTTGACCGACATTTTTCCTTATTTATACCACAGGTGCTTGTGGTATGGACCGGCCCTTTTTTCTAAATTTTTTTTTAGTAGATATTCTATAATATTTTAACTTATTTAATGTGTCCTGCTATTTTTTCCATATACGATATTACAATAGTTTATTTTGACTTCAGTATTATTTTCCACATAAATCACTCAGTGGAGGATCCAAAAATGGGGGGGGGGGGGGTCCGGGGGGTTAGATTTTTTTTTTACAATCAATGCTTTTGAATCGGGGACATATGGTTGGAACCACCCTACCCCCTTAATCCTAGGTTGGAACCCCCTTTTAAAAATGGTTGGATCCGCCCCTGTAACTCTTACAAATTCCAGGCTGAGAGCCTCTAAAAAGGCTGCTTACAGCATAAGATGCCTCATAGAATCAAAACACCACCGGTCTATCTAGTTTCAAGCATATTTCTGTTTCAAGCACTATTCTGCATTCATAGTCTTTTGATATAAACTTATAAAAACGTTCTCGTATTGACATGCAGCCGTCGTGTCATCCTACGCCAATCGTAGTCCTCTAGCTGTTATTTGCCAGATCCAACCAAGCAGAAATTAAATATACTGAGATTAGATTTGAATACCGGCGGAAAAATTGGTAAAATATTTTTTGGGCATTGGTGATAAAGATTTTTTTCTTTTTATTTGGTGAAACTTATGGAAAAGAAATAGCTTTACATGTATCAGTTCACGAAAACATTTCAAGAAAATATAGCATGTTTATTCTTGTACACATTTTGTATATTTCAAAAACCTACCATGGTAAGCTACCATATGACCATCGCAATCTGTGGTGTTTTTTCAGGAAATATTGGTCTTATATTAAGCTGCTTCCATCTTTTGTAGACTATTGGAAGCTTATGTAAATGCCAAATTTGACTACTTGCTACAAATCATAACAATAATGATACCCCGGTTGATACACATAACATAGAAGTATAGGTTCGTGCAAGAAATAGTTCATCATTGGTCTATACTATATGCGGGAGATGTTCACGTATGCTGAATGTCGTCAATATATATACAATTACAGTCATTTCTAGTTGGTCATATTTTTATTTGACTGACATGGGTGAAATGAATTCTTGCCTAAAATCTTCACAAGAATATCAAAAAGATACTGGCAACGCAACTACAAGATACAAACATTATTAATATTGTCGATGCACTTCTCTTAATTGGCGCACAACAAACAACCCATACTTTGAAACAAAGGCCGTCTTTTTACGGCCCTCTGGTTTGATCTTTTTTGGACAATAAGCACCATTTGTCCAGTTTGGAATACCAGGTGTTTCCATCTAGCGTATCAAGATAGTCGTCTATTAAACTGGTCCGCCATTCCATCTAAATCTCCGCACCGAAGTGTAGCGATAAGCGAACACAACAGGGGTCCAGTGTATTCGTCTATGAGAGGCAAGGGGAAAATATCGCTTGATGTCAACGAATTAAGCTTCCTAAAATCAATGTGGCAAACATAATAAGGAGACGTGTTATGATTGCCAATGACATAACTATCCAACAGAGACCAAGAGGACGAGGATGTAAACAGATATAGTGTGGCCTACAACAATGAACAAAAACATACTGTATAGTGAGCTATGAAAGGCCCCAGCATGACAGTATGTGAATCACATTAACGATACTAATTTTACTACACAAGATGTGCATTTCGACAATTAATGCCTCTTCCGTGAAGCTCGAAGTCAGAATAAACCTAATACAAATGGCGAAGCGCTGGTAAAACCAAAAAGGACCTAAGTATAGCCAAATCCGGACAAAGAATTAGAGCTTTTGGGTTAGGAAATTATATTCCTTAATTCGAATTTTTTTTAACAGCTTTCATCAAACAATTTCCGTATTTCCATGCCAGTACCGAAGTCCTGGCTACTGGGTTAGTGCTGGGACTATTATATAATAGTCCCAGGTTGGTGATACACCCGTGGACTAACAGTTCACCAACCGAGGTATCGACATAGTGGTAGTAATCAAATTTAGGGGACCCATTTAACCGCACCAGATGCAATTCAATTAAAAAGTATGTCAGTGTTTATTACTTAACCAGATGATAAAGGATGGCAGGACAACAGATGAAAAAGGATAGCAGGACAACAGATGATAAAGGATGGCAGGCCAGCAGATGACGGACGCACGTCATCGTAGTACCTTGAAGACCTGTCCTTTATATCAAGTATAGGTTTCAAAAATTATTTACTTAGGTATTTGCAAATAATCTGATACCCTTTATTAGATAATAGCTTTAAAGTATCTCCGTATAATAACCTATGGTTATATATACAGAACTATTTTCACATATTACAACTTCTTTGTTTTGTGTTAGGCCTGTATAACTGAAGATTATCCGATGGATGAAGTCTATCGTAAAGTTATCACATATTTATATTATATTAATGTATCTGCATGGTAGGTAGTATTTTCCTTATCGACGGAAAAAACAGCTGGTCTGAAAGGTAGTTCAACTACAAATAACAATGTATCATGCAGTGTGTTTCAAACCAAGATGGGACCGACCAGGAAAGTCATTTAGTCAATTAATTGACTTAAATAAACTATAATTAATTTGGGGAGTGGTCTAGGGGGCTAGACACAATGAAGGTGGTGTTGCTATAATGTCGTAGAATCATGGGTTCAAATCAGCTCTATATGACCATTGGTTACCTGATGATATATACATGTATTTGAATATATAGTCTTAGTATGTGACAATTTTACGACAGACATTCTCCGTGGGAAATAAAAGATTACTAAGAATGTCACAAGATTACTTTTAAATTTTTAACTTTTTCGGTCCGAAATTAGTTATTTTAACAACTTTTGACATTTTACCTATTATGTCTGATTGTTTTGCTCACACATTGTTGCCATATAATGGAATGCTATATGACTGTCATACAAGTGAGAGGTTTAGCTAGCTATAAAACCAGGTTTAATCCACCATTTTCTACATAAGGAAATGCCTGTACCAAGTCAGGAATATATGACAGTTGATTTCCATTCGTTT